TCCCCTCTCTTCCTGGATAGGCACCCACAGACCTTGTGTTCTCCATGTCTGCCTTGTCTGGGTGTCTCTATGGATTTGCTCACTCTTCCTTTCTCCCTCCTCCTTCCACTCTGCACACCCCTGTTCTTTGGACATGTAGGTAGCAATCCTCCAACTTCCAAGTCCAAGGCAGTCTGCACAGGTTCCCTGCTCTCCTGGCTCTTCCCATAGGTGTCTTTAGAGTCCCTTAACCCAACAAGCTCTTTCTGAGGTGCATGGATGTGTCTCCTCCAGAGGAAGAAACAAAATATTCCTGGGAAAGAAGAGAATTGCATACAAGTGTTACCTGTGTTCTTGAGGTCAGTCCTTCTGTGATGAGGCTTTGAAATCTCTGCCTCCCTGCTCCTCTTCTCCTCACCACCCCCTCTGCACTTCAGCTTGCAATGAGTGACGTGTCCCTCTTCATTTCTCCGCTGTCTGTGTTTCCACAGTCTTTCCGTGGAGCCTCCTCCAGCTGTACCTCTCCTATCCTTCCCTCCCACTCCTGCAAGTTAGCCATCTCCCCCCACACATGGGAACCTTATGGGAAGGAAAGCCTGGGCAATGGAGCCCCTCTTGAAAGCAGTTCCCATATATATTTGCCCCTGGTTCTTTTGGGCAGCTCTCAACTGCTGGCTCTCCAGCACAGCTGTATGACTTCTCTTACTCATCACAGTTTCCACTATGCAGCGCTCCTCTCTGGCTGCTTGAACCCTCTGGCCATCCAGCCATGAATTTGTTCACAGCGTTATTCCTGTCTTTTCACAAACATGCCAATTAATTCCCTGCTGATTAGTTCATTTTTGATGCACTCTGCCAAATCTGTTTCTGGTGGAATAAACAAGAAGGAATGAATCGGCTGCAGTGTTGTTATCTTTTTTTTCCCTGCCCCCCTCCCCGAGGTCCATGCCAAATCAAACAAGCTCAGGTCTGGTCAGTACTCGATGAAGAAATACCCAAAGAACTGCAAGGTGTTAAAGTGATGATTTTTGTGAAGCAAGGGGTGGACCGCTCATTCTGGTCCCATGTTCTTGTCAGACTGACATTTTGCTGTGGCTTGAGAGGATGTACGGCCACCACAGCCTGAAGCTTGTGAGTGCCTTGGCCAAATCTGCATTCTTCCTGATATTACTTCTCCAGTATCAGCTGGCAACAACACCCTGTTTCCTGAGTAGCCTATTCTGATTTAACTATATTTTCCACAGCCAAAATGTCTGCATTCAGCAGCAAAAAAAAAAAAAAAAAAAAAAAAAGACTGCCCAGCGACCCAGAATAAAAACAAACACACAGAAGTAAGGAGCCAGAGGATCGTGCAACTCTTACTGACAGAGCAGTTACAAATACAGTATTATGATTGCAACAGTGATGTTGGTTTACCACAGGTGAGGAGTGGATCAGGGAGGAAAGTTGAGTGGCATCCTACTAAGCATAGTCTATAAACATCAGCCAGCACTATTATTTAGTCAGCCACTTAAATCCACTCAAGAGAGAGGCTAAGCTGGGACCACACTCAGGGGTATCTGTTGCTCTGACATCAGAAGCATGTGGTTTTGGCTTCTCCTTCTCTTCCAGTCCCACTGATCCTGTGGCAGGAAAATTTCTGAGAAGACTGCCGTGTTTATGGAGCCTTGCCACTGAAACAGCAGGATACTCATTTGCAAAGTTATAAAACACCAGTTCTCAAAAGCAGCCCACAATACAGAGGCTTAACACAGACCAGCCTCCGGAGGAACTGGTAACCTATTTCTTCAGGGCTCAAACAAGCAAACAAAATGTCCAGGCAACAGGCAAGTAATCCAAACAATCATCTGTCTCCAGCTGGTCCCCATTCAGCATGTGGAACACACAGTCCTGCTACACTGCAGTTGCAACTTCCTGAGACAAGGAAATGAACTGCTGACAGTGTGGGATGAGGATGCAGGGTGGAGGAACACTTGGAGCAAGAACCCCTCCACAGCATGACACAGCGACACCAGATGAACCAAAATGATGGGTAAACCCACACAGGCACGGCAACACACTCCCAAAGCCCTGGTCCAAATCCAAAATGTGCTGGAGAAGGGTCGCAGTGTGTGCTGAATGTCTTGGTCGTGTGCTGGCAGCGTGCTACCTCAGCACGGTTCGCAGCAGGCAGGAGCATGTGTCATAGAAATTCCCCATTCCCTGTGCCTCCTCATGGATTAGTGGGGGAAGCAGGATAGGAGGGAGCTATGGCACTTCCCTGCCCTGTCCCCTGCCTGCTACCATCCACGTTCCCAGTGATATGAAAGAAGAACTGTCCAGCCCACCATCACCACCATGCTGAATTCAGACAGGGATACCCAGCACCCATGTGCCATCGCTGTACCACACTAAGCAGAGACCAGGAACTTTAATATAACCAACTTACAAGAAACTCCCTCTTTTCTTTACTGCTATGTTTCTGTGTTGTAAGCAACTGCAGGGTGTTCAATCTGTTCTCCTGCATGAGAATTGCTGCTTGCAGTCAGTTGTGTAAACCTGGAGTGACAGAGAGAAGCTACTGAAAGAGGTGACACTGGAAAGGTTTCCTTATGGCATGTCCCACCAAAGAAGACTTTGCAAAGTCTTCTGCACTAGCCCTATTAGTCAGACCCAAGATATCATTACAACTTGGGTAGCTCAGGTGAATATTGCATACTCATAAAGCAACCCCAACACACCAGTATTTCAAAGGGTCAGGTCAGAAATCAGGCACAGCAAATTTACCTTAGACAGGGTCTTCACCCTACATAGGACAGAAGGAATCAGTGTGAGCAGAAAGGGCTTGCACAGGCTTATCGCTGATGAGGGGCTGGTGGCTGCATATTTTCATGCTTTTTAGCTTGTAACATTTTTCTAACAGACCACATTGCCAACCCAAAGCTCTCAAACTTCCAAGCTTAACCCCAAGTATCTCATTTTTTCAGCATCTGGCTTTTTCAAATTGCGTTGGAAAAAAAATAAATAGCGTGAACAGCAACATTCACATAAATGAATGATTTATTTGCAACTTCAGTTTTATTTTCACAGCTTTTTGATTGATATTGGTATACTTGGCAGGTCCAATTTATATGCAAATTATCTTACATTCACAATGTAAAGAAGGAAAACTTCAATTCTCATGCTTTGCAAATCATGACACCCTCTGAACACTTTGCTTAGCCACATGTTCCTCAAAATCACCAGGTTTCACCACAGATCACTTGTTCTGGCTATCCATTAGCTTCACAGAGATCTCAGGGCGTGGGGAACAAGCCATTTTTGTGGGGATGCATGAAATTAAGAGTAGGCTGTGCTGTACCACGAACGTATGAGTGTTGTAAAGTATGGGCTCTTGCAGTGTATGTGTGCCAGATGTTAGACCTCAAATAAGGACACCAGATTTTCCAGTGCTTGCTTCTGGCGGTTTCTGCCATACCTTTGCTCCCAGCTCTAATTGGTGCCAGAAGCATTTTCTTAGAAAGAGGCACTGGACAGCTCTTGTTCCTGTGTATCACAGGCATTGTTAACCAAGACTTGAAAAGCATCCAGGATCTCTCCTGTAAATATTTACACAGATACAGCACTGTCACTGCTCTTAAATCAAAAAAGCAGAGGAGGGGAAATGGCATATGGATTCTGCACTCAGGAAGACCTGGAAGGGAAAGAAACATGATGACTGATGCCTTCTCCAGAAGTTTGCCACCTGGGACTGTCCCCACAGGTGCTGTTTGCTCAGAAAGGTTTTGAGCTGAAGCCTGACAACATCAGTGGAAAAAAGCCCTCTAGTAACAAAAGGTTTTGGATCAGACCCTGTTTACCATTCCTATCTCAAGAAAAATATCTGTTCACCAGCTAAACCACTGGGTATCACTTTTCTGCTCCCTTTTTATTGCAATTATATAGAGTTCAGGACAGGCCTTGATAGGAAAGGGTAAGCACGTTATTTGCAGGAACAGTGCCTGAACCAGGGGAAAACAGCAGCAGCAGATGCTGAGGAAACTCAGCATGTTCTTTAGCCAGTTGGACATTCTTTTGATGTATTTAGCCAATACGCCTTTCTCTTCTTCAAGGAGTCAGCCTTGAGAGCTCTCACACAAACAATGACTTGAAAGTGATGGTGTTGGATGACCCATGTATGGGCCTGGGAATTAGGAAGCTGGAGCCTTGTGGCTTTGGTGAAGCCACAAAACCCTCCTTGTTCAACATCCCCGTTATGAGAAAGGAAGAGTTCACTTCTTCATTTACTTCGGAAGGCTGTGGTGAAGACTGAGGACAGCTTTGGAAAATGTCCTGGCAGTCTTCTGTAATTAAGAAAAAAAAAAGCACACACACACAGAAAAAAACAACAACAACAAAAAAAAAACCAACAAACCACACACACAAAAAAACCAACCAAAACCAAACCCCAAAACCATTGCAAAATAAAACAAAGTGAACAAGTTAGATTTAATCCAACCAAAAACTTCCCAAGAATGAGGGCATATATTTATACCAAGAACAACTCAAAAGGACTGGCACTTTCTGTGTAAACCACTTAGGACAACAAGCCTATTTTTGCATGTTTGTGGCCAGCACAGCCATGCAGGCTGTAGAAACCTGGGTTGTCCTTTGTTAAAGCTTGTTGACACCAGCCCCCACCGCCCTCAGGGTCTCTGCCTCTGTAAAGTAACAGGGAGGAAATAAAGAGCAGTGGAACCAGTGAAGTGCTTCGGTTTCGGTGGGAATCCCAAACTTAGCCAGGTGGGCAGCCGGTGTTTGCTGGAGAGAAACGCTCACCGCTGAAGACCCCAGCACCCTCCCACCGTGAGGCCTCCTGGCTCCCGGCAGAGCCCCACGGAGAAAGGCCGTCCCGCCTGTGCCCCCCCACCTATGCCCTCCCACCGAGCTCCCCGTGACAGGGCTTCCCGGGCTGTCCCCCCCCACCTTATCCCTCTGTCCCAATGGAGGCTGGCCGCTGGGGCGGGAATCGACGCAGCTGAGACCCCGTTAGGCTTGAGGCGTGCGCATGTGCGGAGTCGCTGTCACTGCACAACTACAACTCCCAGCAGGCCGCGGAAAGGTGCGGGGAAAGAGAGGAGTGGAGCGCATGGGCACTGCGCCTCTCCAGCATGGCTACGGTGCTGTCGCGGGCGCTGAAGCTGCCGGGTAAGGGGTTCTCACCCTCGGGAGCGGGGGGAGCGCGCACTGAGCCGTGCTGAGTCAGGCCAGATCGGGCCAGGCCGTGGCAGCCACGTTCGGGTATGCGCCCGACGGCGGGGAGGTGCCGTTGTGGCTGCCGGGGGCCGGTGGGGAGCGTTGCCATGGTGATGTGGCGATGTGGCGATGTGGGGAGAGGCCCAGGCTGGGGCGAGGGGCAGGCCCTGCCGCCGTGGGGGCGCTGGCGGTGGGGGCTGAGTCTGGCGGCTTCTGCCTGTGTCCCGCGGCAGAGGGAGGGTTGCACCTTGGGGCTCCGCGGGCATCGTGTGCGGCGGCGGGGGGCTTGGGCCTGGCCGCGGAGCTGTGAGGAGCCGTGTGGGGCTCAGCGGGAGGAGGCGCCTAGGCCTGCAGAAGTGGGCACAGGGCTCACACAGCCACCTCGAGAAAGCCTTAGTCCTTCTCTGCTCCTTTCCTGGCGGGTTTTACCCCCCAAAAACCAGGCTGGGAGCCTAGTAAGTGCCACTGGCATTGCCCAGGTAAATGTTTCAAGTCTTGGCTACCACCTCTGCGCACCTTGCAGCTAGAGAACTTCACCGAGATGAAAGCATATTCAAGCATAAGGGACTATTGTGTTGAGGAACCAGATCTTTCAAAGATAAGGCTGCAGTGAGCAGCAGCCCAACAACCATCCTATTCAGTGAGCAAATTAAAAGGGAATGAAAATAACATTGCAAAACCATATCTTGAGAGCATGATAGTTGCTGTTTTATGGCCTGGAGACAGTGCCAGTGCACCTGGCTGCATTAACCTAATGGCAAAGTGCATTGTTGCTTCTCATGACCATGTCTTGCCTTTGGGATAGCTATGGGACAGAGATAGGGCCGCGCTGTGCACTGCTGGAGGAGGGGGTCCTCCCTGGTACCACTCACCACTGCTGTCCTGCAGTGCCTCAGTCCATGAAGCTGCACTCAGTGGCCAGCTCATACTTTCCTCTTCCATCGGTCTGTGAAGATCACAGTAATGTCTTCAGAGCCGTTCCCACCAGCTTTTAGTAACCCATATTGGAAATGGTTATTTTTAGTTTATGTAGTGCCTATTACGTATAATTCAAAGAAGTTTTGTTTGCAAATCAGTTTCTTCCTAACTATATATGTGTGTCTGATTGGGAAGGAGTATATTTTACATGAAGTTTGTTTAGCAGAAGTGCAGACTTATGGTTATAAGTGTGTGTATTGGGGTGTGACCACTGGGGAACTGTACAATAACAAGTACAGGTCTCTTCTGGGAACTCTGGAGCCAGCATGATCTGTTTGATATCTGTTGTTGGGAGGCACTTGGAAAAGAGAACAGACCTTGCAACTGCTGTTAAGAAAATTGTCCTTGCATTGGTTCTTAGGTTAAATTGCATATATCATACCTTGTTTGTGTGGTGAAAAATACAGCTTTCAACAGCAATGAGAAAGCAGAAAGCCAGTTGCTAGTGCTGTTTTTTTCCTGCTCTATGTCATTAATTACATCAATATGTGGCAACTTATCTCCCCACGGACTTAGAGATATGTCTGTTAAGGCCCAGTGACTGGCGCCTGCCAACTGCCAGCTGGGGGAAAAAAAAGGCAAAATCAACAGAACATGAAGTGAGTACAAAGGAGACTGGCACCAGTATGTTGTCATCAGAATAATGCACTGAAAATTGTACTTGTCTAAAGTCCATGATTGGCTCTTTTCACTCCAGAGTGAGTGCAAAAGAAGAGCCTTTCCAGTAAATCAAAACCAGGAAAAAAGATTGCAATTAATATCTTTCAAGCTGTCAGCACTAGAAACAAGTATTCCATTATGAGAGGGATCTGATTCCAACACAGATCACCTTGCAGATGCCTCCTTTCCAAATCATAGTTCACGAGTCATCTTTTCTTCTTTGAGAGGTTGCATTCTTCTATTGCAATAGTTGGAAGAGCTGCCTGTGCAAAAAATACTGTTAGGCGTATGCATAGGGGATTTCCAGTTGAGAGTCTAACTGCTCTTGAAAATCAGTGTATTTGAGGCATCTTCTCTCTCTCTTCTGCCTTTGAAAACCTCCCTCTTCAGCACTTGCTTTTTCTTTCAGTGGCTGCAGAAAAAAATAATAAAACCTAGGGTGACATGACCAGTAACTTACTCAGAGACCGCAAGCCACAGTTATTCAGGTTGATTATGTTGGTTTTATCACTGGTACCATGGGGAAAAATGGAATGCGATTTAGAGCAGGTCAGAACAGAAGTTTATTTATTTTACCTGTAGGAGATAGCACAGAGCAGCCGGGAAACTGACTTCGCTGTCAATCTGCTGTACAGTCTGCTTCCCTGTAAAGTAGATGCAAGGTTTATACACACTTAGAGACACTATGCAAAAGACCAGTAGCAAGATGGGAATTGTACAGATATGGGACATACAGAAGGCCATGGAACTGCTCAAGGTGGGTCTGGAGTCTCTTTTCTTTAGCACAGGGACTAATTTATCATGAAGGTTACACAGTGTTTATTGGTTCAGGAGATAGGGTGAGAGTTTGACCAAGAGACTGGCTAATATCTCGTAGCATTTATACTTCTGCGATGGAAATCTGGAAACTGCATAGGAGCATTGGATTTTCTGATAGCTGATCATTTGCAGCAGAGGCACTTTAAGCTTTCTCTTGATGGACAAACTGTCTTTCCCCAGCCTGAACCTTGTCTTTGACCAGAAAGGAAAGAATTTGACTTCTGGAGCACTTCTCAATAAATCATAATTCTCTAAGTGGTGTAAGACTGCCCGTATTTTCACACATTCTTTACTAATGTTTATGTCTCTTTATACTTTTCTGTTGAAAAATCATTTGGGAGCGGTTAGTGGAAGTGCTGTCCCTTCTTCCCACACTATGGATACCAGTTGTGGTATCCTTCTTCCCACAGCAAGTGACCTAGAACTCAGAGGAAAAGGTGTATTCCTTCTGTTCTCCCTCCAGCCAGGTGAATCATGAGTTATGTATTCTCTTTAATGTAGAAAAACCTTGGGATGCCAGGCTGAGCACATCCTCCCCAGGCCTCCAGACACATTCCCAAAACACTTACAGTTTGATAGGGCTCTCTCTGAACAGTGGCAGGAGAGCATTTGAATCCTCTGAGATTAGGTATGCAATTGGGTTTCCAATGAATGCTCCAATAGCCATTGTCAAAGGACAGGGTTTTCCGTTTTGTTGGCTTAAAAAAAATAAATCAGCCAGGCATTTTATAATTTTATGCCTGACTTTACCGAGTGGCTGTGCCTTGTGAGAGTGACAACTAATCTGAGAAAAGATAGAAGGAATGCCAGTTTCTGGTTCCTGGTCAGGGTTAGCCATGAAATATGACTGAACACCTCCCTGCTTTATAGCTCTTCTGTAACTCTATAGACTCTTTCTTGTGTAGATCACCTAAAGCCCTAAGTCATTGCTGTGTAGTAGCTGTTTTTTAGCCTTTCATCAGTGGTTCTCAGCAGAAAAGATGTTCCTGTTACAGATCATTTGTAGTTGACACCACTGTGGATATTGCCAACATCTCAGTCCCTGCCAGTTCAAGAAGTGAGTGAGACACAGTTTCAAGGTCCTATCTGCCTCCTAGAGATTCAGAACAAAACTATTCCAGGTAAAGCTTGTTCCCTTGTATGCTTTTAGTTGCCACTAGGGTAGACAGCATGCTTTGGTTTTCTGTGTTGTCTGTGGAGTTAAAATAGTTTAAAAAATGACAGTATATCTGAAATAGAAGTATGCTGTTGAGTTGTTTTACTCAAAGCACACCCAATTTCCCAAACTGGGAGTAGTCAAGTTAACATAAATGCCTGAGTTTAACTTCCTGGCTACATAGCATTTACTCTTGGGCAAGTAGCATTTGCTTTAAATACCACCCTGACCTGGCTTGAACTGGCACATCTGGATCTGTGATGAGAAGCTGCAAATACCCTGCCAGCAAGTTCTCTCTGGAATTTCTTGTTTTCAGTGAGTACTCTTTCAGCAACTTGTCAGCACAACCTTCTGTATAGACATCTGGGAAATTCACACTGTGCTGTCACTGCTCCCTTAGCAGAGAGCTGTGCACCATCAAGGTCCATGGCCTTCTCTGCTGTTTGCAGGATGGAGCCATTGTTATCAAGACTTCCTGAAGAATCCACACTTTGAATGCATATTTAGGGCAGATCTGTGTGAAACAATGCAATGTCCCACAGGGGTACACTGGACTGTGCCATAGGAATGTAATATCTTTTAGTTGGGTGCTCTCCAGGAACAGCTTTTTGGAGTGTGTACGTGCACCAGATTGTTTTGATGTGAGTCTTTTGTAGAAGCCTCTAATTCAAAAGGGTCTAATTTGAGATCTTGTTGGATATCTTTATTTCCCTTCGTTCAATGTGAGTGTGTTGTCATGGCTGCTCCAGTTAGTGTGGGGCATTTGGCCTTTAGTGATATTGACACTGAATGCCATTTAAAAGTAGTACAGGAAGTTGGAGTGAAGGTCCCTTTGTGGGGTTAGAAATGAGAGAAAAAATGAGATGCACGTGCTGCAAAACAGATTCTAGATGATGCAAAATAGGGGTGTTACACTAGATACTACAGTACCCCTGTAGCTGTGAGTCTGCCTTTAGCTGGAAAACCAGAAGTAAGGCTGGTTTATGTTATGAACTTATGCAGAAATAATAATCATGAAAATTCTTAAATTTCCACTCTGCAAAACCTTCCCATCATCTTACTGTCTGAGAGTGGTTACAGCTTGCATTTGTATTCTTGTTATTTATGCCTTGTGTGTATCACTTTGAGCATCTTTGGGCACAAGTTAGCTCCTGTCTTGGGTCATCTTTAGGCAAAGGGAAATGAGACACATATCTAGGGTAGTAAAATCCTACCTAGAGATAGGAGAGAGAAACAGGCTGAGACCCTGCAATGATTAGAGCATTGGCCATGCCTGGTGGTGCAGGGCAGCTCCCTGAGATGTGATCCTGCACTCAGCTCAGGGCGGTGAGTCTGCCCCAATAAACAGATGGTCCTGGCCTTAGGCAAGTATGCGCAGCCAAGTTCTGCACATGCCCTCCTCACAGTCACACTCTCTGCATCTGTATAGGGCCTGGGGGAGGAGTCCTAGATGTGCCAGGCATCTGTGGGGGAGACACCTAAAGCTAAGCTACTTTCTTGCACCACCATCTGAAGGCATCAGTACTAAGTTCTTTATCTTGGCAAGGCCAAGCACAAGCTGTCGGCTCTCGTAGGAGCAGAAACAGAGCAGGAGCACTGTGGTTTTATACTGCAGGGGCTAAAGCAGTTGCTGTCACAGTGCTGAGCCATGCAGAGAAGGTGGTTTCTTTGAAGGGCAGCCCAGGTCCCTTCAGACACCAGGATGGTACTGGCCCAAAAGGCAAAATCACTTTGCCCTCATCTTCAGGGAGTCTATACCCATTTTTATCAACACTGCAAGAAACCATGCACAGTGTTCTATCCCTTCTATTCCTCATGAAACAGGACAGCAGATGTGGCATACTAGAAGGCAGCAGTGCTGCAGGATGAGGAGGGGGAAAATGAGTTGCAGATGGAGGCCCCCTCAGAGAACACGGGCTACAAGTGAAGAGGGGCTGTGTCAGGATTAGAGGCTGGCAAATGCTAAGGATGTTCAGTGTCTGAAAGCAAGAGAATGCTGCAATTTAGGTACTCAGATCATTAGCATAACTTCATGTTTGTCTGTCTCATAACCAAACAGTACCAGAGTGCTGTGAATTCCATATATATATGTACATGCACACACACACACACACATACATGTGTGCATGTATGTATATAGATAATATATATTTACATCTTTATCTCAAGGAAATTAACTGTTGGCATATTTTCTCCTGCAGCTGCTACTCTGAAACATGGAGAGACCCTGTCTTTTCTCTCACACCTCTCACTTGGACCCATTCAAAATGCAGGCTGCTCTGTTATCCCCTTTGTGTCACTCTCCACTGCAGCCTTTTTTGACACTGACATCCCACAAAAGTAAGGAATTCATGCTTTGTCATCTCTCTTAATCTCTTTCCTCAGGAAAGAAGAGCCCGGACCTTGGGGAATACGATCCCCTCACTCAGGCTGACAGTGATGATAGTGAAGATGATCTGGTACTCAACATCCAGAAGAACGGGGGGGTCAAGAATGGGAAGAGCCCCCCTGAGGAGGTGCAGGATCCTGACTCTGATGTGGAGGTTGGGATGACAAAGCAGCACACGTCAGAGAGCGCACCTGAGGGTTATCCTGCAGAGGCGGCTGGGACTTTGGAGCAGAAGTCTGCTCCCTCCCTGATGCCATACCTGCGCACAGCGATATTTTTGCTCACTGTGGTGGTCTCGATGATTCTGGTGCTGGTGTGCGCGTTTCTAATTCCCTGTCCCCCTAGAGACTTGCATAACACGTGGAACCGCAACCTAGGGCAGGGAACAGGTGAGAAAGCCCCAGGAACAGCATCTGGCGTGGGGGAGGTGGCAGCTCCCAGGATGGGCATCGGCGGGAGATACCTATCTGGGAGACCCAGGTCAGAGCAGAGGCCCTTCCTCACCACTGCAGATGCTCTGAGGTAATAGACAGGCGGCTGTGTCCTGCTCACTCTTCAAGATGAGGCCTGTGAAATCTGGCATCAGGAGATAACATTACCACAAAATCTTGTTTCTGTCAACACCAAAAAACATTTTGACTCTTCTCATATCCCACCTTTTTGTATAGATGGTGCACTTTGTTCCAGATGGAGGTGGCCGAGCTCACTAAAACATATCATCTCCCTTTCTGCATCCTGGTTTCAGCAGCACCTCCATGCTTAAGTGTGTTCAGGAGGAGAGGGGTAGAAAGAAGTCTTTGTGTCTTCTAACTGGCTTAACTAACCTTATTTCTTTCGTCTTCTTGTCCTGCTTGAATCCATAAATCAACATTTGGGATCTTTTGTCATCCTATATGGGCCACTGGTAATGTTTCTAAAATATCTCTTATTCTGACTTTTGCAGTAAAGTAACAGTGGTTTGTGAAATAAATTCTGCCAGGTCTAGATATGTCTCTCCCTCCTTGCTTTCTGCCCCTGGCTTCCCAATCTAAGCCTTTCATAAGGTATATGGCTTCCACATCACTTTGGAAAGTGAAGTGAGAAGCAGAAATCTTTTTCCGTTATCTTCTTCATTTTTACCTTTCCTTTCTCTGACCCAGATGCTGTATTTTGGCCTTTCCATGCAATGAAAGACCTCAATGTGGTTTGAGCTGCCTGGCATTGGTGCCTAGCAGACTCTGTGAGGCTTGGCTGTCCATAAGTCTCTCTTTGGGTCAGCCTGCCTCTCACAATGGGGTGGGTAGCCTTTTTGACAACAGTGTGGTGGTTCTCTATGGCTTTTGCAGGTGGTGTGTTATCCCCACTGGAGCTGTATGATGTGAATGGCGATGGGCTCTCTGACATTCTGATTGTCTTCACTGCCTTGATGAATGCTAGTGTCATGGGTAAGCACCACAGCTCCTTTCCATTCCTCTTTCTGTACATGTCAGTACAGACCTTTGTATGTTTGTCATACATGTAGGAAGAGTTCCTGCCACTGCAAATCCACTGCGTCGCTTTTTTCAGAGTTATTTAAAATGGCTGGTGGACTGTGCCTGTCCTTGTGTAATGCTGCTTATAATTTTCATTGCAAGCCTGCACTCCCATAGCTGTTAGGTCAGGATATCTGTTTCCGCTTATCTCATCTTGGGGCAGGTCTATCTCTTTGACTTGTATTTGTGCACACTCGATTTGTGGACAGAGCTAAAGTGATCAGAAAGCACTGCTCTTCAAATAGCAATTAGAAATAAGGTGGGAGTTTTCCCCCTTTGTTGCATCTCTGTAAGCCCGTCACAAAAGTATTTATCTTTCATCACAAACATGTACAGTTCTCAGCATACTCTGAATGTAGCTAGTCATACCTAGCTGCATCCTGGACTACAGCTATGTTGGAAGACAAAAAACAGACATTAAAGTTGGTGTAAACACATCACAGTCTTAAACACACACAGCTGGACATCAGCCCTCCTGTAGTTAGTGCAGAAGCATTCACACAGTGTCAAGTAGGGATAAGCTTGGAATAGACACCTGATGGAGTAAGTTATGACATTGTTAGCTGTTTCTCCAGCTTGTATACACAACAGCTGTGAACTGCACTCAGGAGTTAGTTGTGCTTGGTCCCTGCCAACCCAATGAAGAGAACTCGGGCTGGGGCAACCCCCTAGCATTAACCAGCTGCTCCTCAGTTTGAGAAGAGAGTGGGTTTTGATTTAGAGAGCGGGCTTAGACTTGCTTTTAGTCAGTGGCACAGATATGCCTTTTGTGCAGTCATGTCCCATGTTGTTTTGCTAGTAAGACAGGAGTCAACTGGGACTGTTATTTTGAAGTGTATGGGAGTTTATCTTCAGTTGTGATAGGACCATTCCATGTGGAGATTACAGTAACCACAACTATGTCTGTGGGCAGGCCGAAGTAAAAGTTGCTCACATTTGGAATCAGAGCCAACAGTCCATTGAAGCAACATAGAGCATTTTTTTTTTTTTTTTTTTGCAGTTACTTTGTGCTAACTGGTGAATTAGGAAAAGACCCCTGAGGGACACCAATTATTTGCATTCAGTCTGTTTTCCACAATAATAAAACTCATTTGGAAAGAAAAAGGGAAAAAACTCTCATTGCAAATCACCACCTTCTGCTCCAGATTTAGAAAGAACCCAGGACTTTCACATGAGGTGGCATCTGTCTTGGCAGTCACTCAAGGTTACCCCTTGCTGCTAGCGGGAGAGGGATCGGAAGGAGCAGTCGATCAGTCTTGTTTGACAGCAGTGCATTTCACACCAGGAAGTCAGCACAACTGAGCAGATGATCTCCAGGATCTTGGTTCCTCTGTGCCCAGCTGATCACATTTCTTGCTGTGAGCTCAGGTCCTCTATGATTGTCTGTGCTGTTGGTTGACAGACCAACTTGTCTGGACATCGCTGCTGTGGGGTGGGATTTGCTTTCAGGCAGTGTGGATGGGGCTCACTTGAGCTACTCAGCTGTAGGAGCTAGAGCTGGAACTCAAGCGCAAAGACCAAAGGCAGCATGGACACAGCCTCTCACTCTCTTTCCTGCTTCTTCCAGGTGTCTCTAGGCCCTCTGTAACTGTGGTGGCCCTTTCTGGTATGAATGGCAGCACCCTGTGGTCTATCCAGCTTCCAGAGGAGACACGGAGTGTGCAGTGCAAAGGTCTGTCACTGGGGGCACCTGCAGAGCCCGTCTGCCTTGTTACAGGAACATCAAAATTCCTCAGCCTTCTCAGTGCCTCCACAGGTAGGGTGAACTACCAGCATATTAGAAATATGGTACAGGTCTTTTTGTTTTCTTTAAAGGACTAATAAACATGAATTATTCCGTGCTGGCACTTCAGAGTGGCTGCTATCTAATGATACACAGGAAGGAGTCGAAACAATAATGAGTTTCTAGTTACACAGGATAAAAAAATCCAAACCATTGCAGCTCTGTGGAAGTATCTTCATCATACCATCTCAGAACATTTCAAAGTGTTAATCTGACTCTGTAGCATCCCCATGGCATAAGGGATATGTAAGGTCTGTTCTCATCAACATTAACCTTTTAGTACAACTTGGCATTTACATAACAGCACTGAAAAGCTGAAAACCGTTCTTGGAGAAGTTATATAAGGACATGTGCTACAGCCAGGAAGCCTTCCAAGGAAATTAGGCCCATAAAAGGATTGATTAGATGTGAATGAATACTGCATTTTTAATTGGTTGATCATGTGCACCTCCATTCGCTGATCGCTGTTTGGTTTACCACATCAGTTCACTGGCAGAAATATTCATAGGTAGGTATAGGGAAGTTTTTGGAATGAGAACAGAGAGTGGAGACATACAAGAAACCTTGTTTTTAAGTGACAAATCTAGTCAATGAGTACCAAAGCTTTCAAATGCTTTTAAGGACCAGATTACTTGCACAGTGTTTCCACAGCAAGGACCATAGGCTGTCTCCTTTGTCAGCAGTAGTAGTGTTATTAGTATGCACAAGTGTTTGCAGGTCTGGTCTTTGGTTTCCTTTTGTCATGTAGGGGAAAACCCTACCCTATGCAGCAGCAGCAGCAGCAAAGTATTTTTAAATTCTGACTGAAAAAGCAGAAGTATTGGCAAAAGAATAATGGAAAAATAAAATCACCTAATTTCATTTTGCCTTTTTTGGGTATTTATTTGCCAATTTGCTAAGATCAGGTTTTACTGAGTTTCCCGCTGGGGCCATGCTGGACTGCTGAACCATTTGACATCACCTCTGCTAACATGCTTTCACCCTGAGGTGGAGTGAGCATGCCATGTTGGAGGGGCTGTGTGCTGATGGGAATTTAACAGACACACAGATTTGCACTTTGAATATCAAAATTGCCCATCTGTTTCCTTTCCTGGCACCTACCTACATACTTTACTGTTGGCTGAGGGAAACAACTGCTGTGCTGCAGAGCAGCACTTGCATTTAGGTTCTCTTTCCAAGAGCAAACCTCAAATATTCTGTGCTATTTCAGGAACTGTTTTGCACTCAGGACTTTCTAGAGAGATGCTAAGAAGGAAGAACAGCAGGACTTAAGGCATGACTCAAAGACAATCTGAAGAAGTGTCGGGGAAAGGACTTCGCTTCCTGCTACAGCTTGTCCCAGTCTGTGGCCTTGTCTTTCCTCTTGTCAGAGAATGGGAGAAATAACCTTTCTTGCTCTCTCCTTCAAGAAGGTTTTGTGGAACCCTCTGGGGATGCCTGCTGGTTCCCCAAGTGCTGCAGGCATCTTTCATCCTGTTTTTCCACAGGCAAGACCATCTGGACACTGAATTCCATCCACCTTTCAAGTGGGATCTTGGCTGCACCTGCTGCAACTCTTCCAGATGTAGATGGAGATGGTTTTAGGGATATTGTTGTTCTGGCTCTCAAAGAGACACAGGTACAACGTATACCTGCTCAAGGTTTGAAAGGACTGTTACTATGTGGAGGAGGAATAGGGAGCCCGACCTGGAAAGGCTATAACAGGAGCTGCAAGAGCCCCTCATTTTCATTCCCTTACATGTCCCTGAAAAGTATGTTTTTCTTTTCAAGAGGTCAGAGCAGTGAGGTCAAGCAATAATACTACTACCTGCATTTCTTGTCAACTGGGAATGAACAGAAGGGTTATTATTTACCCCTTGAGAATTATCTGTTTCTGTTCAGTAAAGTCGTGGTTTGAGTCACTGTTTAGCAGCAGCATAGGGAGCCATGTTGAGATAAATCTCTGGAGAAAGGAGCATTCAGCTTATATAAAAGAAATACTTGTGTGATTAATGCTGATGTGGATTTCCTCTGTGTTCATTCCTTCAAAATTCTAGTATCAATATTATTACAGGAATTCAGGTTTTTGAAGTCCTTTCCATCTCTGATGCATTTGCAGTCAAGAGAAAAGGACAAATGTAAGATGCCCAGGAAACAAGAGAGAGAGAGACAGACCACTAAGTAGACCTTGCTGTGGGGGGAAAGAACAACAGAGATTCATGCTATGGGGACAGGGAAAGATTCTGAAAGCACAAGTGTATGAAAGGACTGATAAAATTTTCTACATATGTCTCTTTGCAGCCTGATGTGTTTTTCATCTTGGTGTCAGGAAAGACTGGGACTGCTTTGGGTGGGCCTGTGAGGTACAGTACCAATGGAGAAGGGAAAGTGATTGGTCCCCAAGTCCACATCACCAGTCGGGGAGCCATCTACATCCTGTTTGGTTTTGGTAAGATGCACCTTGCCTCTGCAGCACTTCACCTTACTGAGAAAATATTCATTTTACTTAAAATGGCCCAAAGAATCCCTGGGGTATTTCAACCGTGCCTTTTGCTGTAAAAGCTAGGAGTAGAGGGCATGGGAGCAAGTCTCACTGCCGTGGTGGGGAAAAGTGCATGAGCACCAACACCTACTAGTCTGGAATACCTTGGAATTTCCCAAAGGCACATCAATGCCAGGGATGTTCCAGCTCTGGGCATTTATTTGTTTTGTACCACAACTGCAGTTGTCCCAAGCACCTTCTGTACTACTAGGGTGTTAACTTTTGCAGGCAGGACTCTTCATCTTTACTCTTCCTGGCAGGTAATATTCAAGCAGTTGCCCTGAGGGATCTCTTTACTCAAGCCAGAAACCGGGACAGCTTTTCTGCAATGCTGCAGCAGGAGGAACCTGAGTGGGAAAAGCGCAGATCTGTCAACCTGTCAGAGCTCATTGACATTTACAGGTAGAAAGTGGACATGTCATCTTGCTTCTGATGGGAGAGGAAGAGGATAGGCACCTCTTAGTGCCCCTAGAGATGGTCACTTCTCCTTCAGTACTGTGCTTCTTTTCATTGTCCAGTTGATAACAGTACTCTGGGCAACCCATTGTTTCCCCCCTGCCCTGTATGAATTTCAAAGTATGATAAAAGGGAGTCCATTCTGCTGCTTGTCATTTCTCCCAATGCCTGTACATATCTGGAGATTTAAAAAAAAAAGATGTTCCCAGCTAATAGAGTCCCTTTGGGAAGCTCAGTCTATGTACAGCATTATGGGCCTGGATTTCTCAGATCTTTCTTCTTTACTGCCAAAGTGTGGTCAGGGTCAGCCTGAATAGGAATAAAAGGAGGGAACATATGTGAACCCACAAACTCCTTATTTTATGTAGTAACTCAAGATGTTCAGAAGATCCCACGTTAATTCAGTTCACTTAACTGAGGAACCCCCAAAGGAAGGTATGCTCCATCACTGTGACAAAGATGGGCATCTCCAAGAATAGTTCTCAAATGTTAGGTAGGATGAATTGCCATGGAGACAGGTAACTGGTGCTGAGATGTGCAGATACAAGCCTCGGAATCTCCTCTCTGCTTTCCATTTGTCCCAGTGGGGGTGTTGAGTTCCTGCAGACAATGAAGACACCTGACACAAACTGCAGCAGTCTGCTCATCACAACCAAAGAGGGCTTGATCCTACTGCGGGGGCAGGACCTGGAGCCCCACTGGACCTTGGAACTGCAGAACATCAGCAGGTCACATACTGGGAGTATTTTTCTGCTTTGTTTCTTCCTGTAACATTTACTGCCTTTCACTTGTAAGTACATGTGCTCCTTAAAAAGCAATTGGGACAAATTCTCCAAATCTGCAGAGAGATCTAAGAACTGTAGGTGTGTAGATCCATTGCTGAGCAAGTGCGAAAGGCAGGGAGAGTAAGGAACTGAAGGCTGGAAACTTGAGCTGTGTGCTTATGATTGATCATGAATAAGGGGCTTGATTCAGGTACCCAACACTGATGTCATGGGGATGTCATGGAGTTGGAATTTAGGGGTTTACTGATGTGTGATTCAGCCCAACTCCTGTCCCAAGCTGCCACTTCCCAGCTCAGTTGGAGAGGAGCTGTTTTGCATTAGTGATTTTAAGTATTTAGAGAAAGGTGTATTGAGTATGGCTCACAGATCTTAATGTTCCTTGAAAGCTGAAAATGAGCATTCTGATTCTGAAGCTCATTCAGTCAGCACACTATCTATACTAAATGTAAACCCTAAATTAATACTACTCATCCTCTCGTTTCACACATGGAAATTAAGTAATTTGCAAGATTTTGTGGGTTGATAATAACCATCAGTTTCAGCTTGCACAGTATTGAATATTTGAAAAGGACAGTTGGGCACAATTGAGGGAAATTGCATGAAAAACAAATTGCTTGCTCTGCTGTCTAGAGGAAAGAAAGCAGCTCAGTGTTACCTGTCAAAAGCATCTATAGGAAGAAGGCATTGGAACTTCATTAAGCATAAAAATTGTTGTTCATCTAGGTTTGGTATTCAGATAACGGCCTCATGTGAGGTCTGATGGATGACATAAGCAATGGCTTTTAGGAATGGCTTATGTCTAGTGGATCATACTGTGGGGAGAAGAGATGGGCTAAAGGTGTTTTGGGTCCAGAGTTCTGGACTTCTGGATGTGTATGGGGTCTAGGTTAAAGGGTAAGTGTGTGCTGACTAAGCAAAGCCATTTATAGATGCTGTAAAATCAGTTAACGCACAAAATTTCTAAATGGACCCACTAATGAATTGAAAAACTTCTATTGGTTCAAATCAGGAAGAGTTGAAAGCTGCTTTGCCTGTTCTATTCACAGAATCACAGTTGGTTTGAGGTTGAAATTCACCTCTGGAGATTGCCTGGTCCAACGTACCTGCTCAAGCAGGATCAGCTAGTGCAAGTTGCTCAGGGCTATGTGCTGTCAGGTTTTAAATATCACAAAGGATGGAGACTCCACAACCAATCTGAGCAACTAGTATTCAAGGTTGCTGCACGCCTGCTCTGCTTTTTATAGTTCTGTGACCCCCCCAAAGGACAGAGTACAACACATATACAGGAGCTCCTAGATAATGCACTGAAATGTAGTAAAAGCAATTCTTGGTCAAGGCCACTGTGATAAAGCCCTGGGCTACCTGTTTTCTTAGAATTAAGAGAGACATAATCTGGTAGACTGAATATATTGTGCACAAGCATTTATGTAAGAGGGGTTTGGGGTTTGTTTTTGGGGAGAGTAGGACTTTGAGAAGTTCTGTTTTAGCAGTGCAGGCTGGGGGACAAATTCAGCTCAAGGGGGTAACTACAGTCAAACAGACCAAAATACAGTTTCTTATTAGACAAAGCTTACAGAAACAGCTGAGAACTCCCCTTTTTGTTGGTAAACCTGCCCAAGCACACCATTCCAGCCAGGCAGACGGAGCCCAGCACTTTGGGAACAGTCTCTGAGAAAAACAACCTGGCTGCTGCAGATGTGCTGCATTTCCAGATTGGTTTGGACAAGATCACTGGAAAACCATGAAGACAAATCAGTAGTCATAAAACAAGGGGGAAGTTCAGAGACCATGAAATTGAGTAAGCAGTTGAAAACTGTGTTGTAAATGGATGTTTCAGATGAGAGAGGATTAATAGCAGGTTGCTGTGGGGATTACTGTTGGGCAGTAATAATTACTAGCCTTCTGGTTCATTTGAGGAAATGCCATGGGGATTTTTCAGTTGATTGGTAGCATCTAAAATACATGTCTGTCTACTTTCAGTCTGTGGAATTTGCTGCTGACTGTAACCATAAGAGGCATCTGAAGAGAGGTTTTAAGTTTGTGCCCATAGGATACAACTACCTACTACTTCCTTTTGCTGGTTGAGGGCTTTCACGCTATAGGAGTGTCCCGTGATAACTGCCTTGAAAGCATTGGTTCTGGTTGCCAAAGGTGTCTGTAGATTGAATGGTAGTGATGGAGTATGTATAAATAGTCAAGCCACTGCTCTACTGTGGTATTGATGTTCAGGAGCCATACTCGTATGGACATTTTAAAGAGGAAGCTGTTAAGAAATGGAGAAAAGGGCTAGAAAAAAAGCTTTAGCATGGAAGATTTAAGTAAGCATGTTTCTGTGATGAAAGAGAACCCTGACATGAATTCATAAGCATGTGTAAGTCATAGGAGCTAACAGGGATTTTCATCTTGCTATAGCAAGAACAAGTGCCTTGCAGCAAAAGCCATTCATGCTCAAGAAGGTGAAAATGGAGGCATGTTTCTTTGGGTGAGATTAATCATTAGAACTGACTGTCACGAGAATAGATGAATTTATCTCATCTTTGTATTTCCATAACAAACCTCATGGATAGTCTAGTCAGTGTAAGCCTATTGACACTTGGTTATTTGGCAAGCAATAGATAGCAATCTGTCATAAACAGTAAGAGGGAGGACATATTCTGATGATCCTTCCTTGCCATAAAATCTCTGATTCTGTGAATCTCAAGAAATCGTTTGTGCTTCTTTAGATCCTTGGTCTAGCTGTGGTGAATTTAAGAAAGAGCTAAGACTCAGAAAGCTAAAGGCAAGCAAGATGGTTCGAAGACAGTTATGAGAGATATTCAGGTAATAGTTTTATGTCTCCCAGAAGGGAGGGAGTGAGAGGGGACTTCATTTAAACTGCTGAAGGTTGTAAAAAGGCTTGTAAAACCACTGGCAGTAAGAAAACAAAGAATCATGGGCAGACATTAATGGAAGGTATATTAAGAGCCATTTCACACAGCTAAGGCAGGTTGGGGAGTATACTTGCAGCAGGAGGTCAAATCTACCAATGCATTTTGAGAGGGCTGGGTAGTTTTTTATGACTGTAGCAAAACTGTACAGGTTCTCATGCTAAGGAGAGAGTAATAGAGAGTCATGTCACAGGGTGGTAAACACATGTCTACACAGCCCAGCCAAGGGATTTCCCCCCCAACCAAGACAACTCTGAAGAATGGATAACAAGCACCATGGGCTGCTTGATCATTTTTCACTTTTGTGATCCACCAACAAATAGTTTCTGACTGTTAGAACAGTTCTGAGTGGATGAAAGGTCTTGTTTAGCATGGCAAATCCTACCTTTTCAAGAGGCAAAATGGAGTATGAAAGCAACAGTGCTGCCTCCATCTGAAATCCCTGTTTTTCAGCCATGGGGCTGAGTGATTCTTTTTCCAAATTTGCAGCGAGCCCGTACCAGGTTACTTCAGTGCTGACCAAACTCTGGACTTCCTGCTGCAAGCACAGACGGGAGATGGGAACAAAAAGGTAAAACAAGTGAAGGCAAGGAGGGCAATGGCAGCATAGGAGCGAGGGAGGCTGGGTACAAAAGGACAGGCATTCCCTGCTCCTTGCTCTTCCTGTTTCTGTGCTGACACCACTGTGTGGTCACAGGCATGAAATGGAGCAGCACAAACCATGCCACTGCAAGGGGACTCTGCATGCCCATACCTGGACACCCATTAATGCTAGATCTCTTCCCTGTCTTGAGGTGATGGTGGTGGATGGCAAATCTGGCCTCCCTCTTTGGAACCAGGAACTGCCATGGCAGAAGCAACAACTCGATGCACTGTCAGTCATGACTTTGGACAAGAAGTCTGTTTTTCTCTTCTGGGCTGACGAAGCACAGCCTGTGTTACAAAGTTTGGTGAGCAGGCATCCTTTCTTCACTTTGAAGTTTGTCTGTGAGATATATAGAGTCTCTGCCTTTTATTCCTAATGTAATTGAACTTTAAACCTGCCATATAAGAAGGCTGTCAGGGACATCTTTTCCTCTTGTTTTGACACTTTTGACTTCTCAGAGCCTGAAGACAGAAGTTTTTGTGTGCTAAGTCTTCACCAGAAAGCTTTATTGACAGAAAGTTTGCATCCACAAAACTAAAACTTTCTGTGTGAATTTAATGTGTTTTTTTTTTTTTCTGCAACTGAGATATTTTTACTGCAGATTTGTTCCCAGCCCCAGAGCTCTTCTCTGCATGCAGGCACACAGGTCAGCATGGGTACTCAAAACTTCTAGACTGTAGCCCATCAAGCTGGCTTTAACAGAGCCAGATATCAGCCTTGCCAAAGAGAAGTTGTGGAACAGATTCTATTTTAGAAATAAAAACTTTACAGGATTTAATCTGTGTAGGACCATAGAGTTTTTGATTCTCTGATCCGTATAAAGACAGCACAGTGTCAGAAATCATCTTTATTTCTTCAGCAAAGCTAGATTCCTCTTTGCTAGACAGTTGTAACGTTTTTATCTGTCCTTGGTTCCAACAGCATCCTGGTCCCAAACCTGAGCGCCCAGGGCTTCACCATCTCTATCTCCTCCATCCTGTTTTTCCTACAGTCCTTTTGGACCTCACCAATGCAACAGACAAAGTCATTGCTTCAGCAGGTGAGTACAGATGGAGGAGAAACTATGTCGCCTAAATGAAATATGGAGGGAGAGGTAGCCGTGAGAAACAGTGGGGCGTAGTTGAGCCTTTAAAGGTAGCATCTGAGGTCCATCACACAGGACAGCAATGGGAAGTAAGACTCATCTTACTTGGTCCTGCCCAAACCCTACTTTGCAGATAAAAAAACCACCAAGTTTCTTGCACATGTTTAATTAAGGAAAGGTCTGAGTTCGATTTCATGAATGTTTTACACCAGAGAAGTTTCCTTGCTTTCCATGGAGCTATTCGTGTTTTAAGATAGTGTTTGAAGAATCACTATAAATCTTCTCTCTGTCACCTCAAGGTACACTTCTGCCTTTGTTGGCCGTCTTCTGCTCCCAGGGGAAGCAGCTGTGCTCTGTGCTCTTTCTTCATTTTTCTTTTCGGAAGTGGAAATACAAAATACTAAAATGTGTGTTTTCAGGGAAAAGTGGATCTGGATTTAACATCTGTACAGAACTGTACAGTCCCTGTTGGATTTCCTTGCTTTTTCTAAAGCACTTCAGCCAATAGCCAGCTTATTCAGCATGGCAGCATATGGGATAGAAGATCAGTTCATCCAGCACGGAGTCCAGTGGGCCAGGAAGCGTAAAAAAGCTGCTACATAGTGATACAGCTAATTGTGTTTGTATCAGGAAACACAGCTCAGTCAAGAGCAAATAGAATATAATTTTTAGAAGGCTTTATTAGAAACTGCAGTTCCTGAGGTCTGTACAGATTATTTTGCAGTGACTGGAGTGAACCAACTTGCTCATGCGCTATAGTGATTAAACAGTAGCTGCTAAGAGATGTGAGAAGGAAAGCTCTCTGAAAGTGAACTGCATTCATGAAATTTGTGCATCTCTATGTCAAGCTCCAAAATGTCTCCTGGAACTAAATCTTTTTATTTCTGATCTAAATTTCAGTTTATTTCTATGGAAAATTTTTAACATAAAACTATTTTCTCTGATTAACTGAGGTACATGCAACTGTAAAGTCAAACTTAATATACCCTCAGCCTAGTGCATGTTTTGACTGAGTAAAGACTGCAAGATTTATTTTGGAAGAAACACAATAATTTACTCCTCACCAATATTTTCTTGCCCTTTTCTGATGGACTAGTTGGAATTAATGACCTCCAGAAGGATGCATTTCATATCACTGTGACAACAACTGCAACCTCTGAAAAACAGCCAGGATTTCTCTCGGTCAGCAAGCTCGGCCTGAAGTGGGCCATGATGAGCCAAGGTCGAATGGTGTGGCTGAAGGACACCACTACTCCCAAAATCAGCCGTGGAGAAGTGAGAAGATTTCTTGCCCGGCTGAAATTTATTGACTTTCCTCAACGGGTGAGATTGTACAGGAATCCCTAATGAAATCCAGACTTTTGAAAACATCTGATCTCTTTCCTACAGACACAGTTAGGTGCTCTTTGTAATGCAGAGGGGATGTTTGCAGAGGCTTTGCTGAATGCAGAGAGACTTGCCCAAGACTGTCTGTCCCTTTTGAATTTAAACTGCACAGATTGTGAGGTCTAGCTGTACTTCTTGACAGTTGGAAAAGGAGTGGTAGCTTAGATAGAACGAGGGATCAGCAACTGAGAGATTCACAGAGGGAACAGAGAGGTGGGACAGAGGTTACTTGTTTTGACATGGGCAGACAGGTGCCCAGATTCAGTTGCTGACCTGTGAATTATCACTTTTCTCTACCAGACTTTATGATAATAAGTTTTGACTTTATGTTTTTTGTTTGTCTTTCCTTCTCCAGCTCTAGCCTGGTGGTTCCTCAGATTTTGGTTGGACATGTGGCCTGTATGGGGAACACAGGAAGCTGTGGATCTTCAGGAAGACTGTTGTATAGAGGAAATAGGGGCTAAAAGCACTTCCCCTTTCTACAGCTCTGTGGGGAATGCTGCTTGAGGCAGGTTTGTCCAAGGCAGACCTGTCCTGTACCAGAGGAACTTTGTTCAGCATCTCCCCCTCCATATGCTGTTCTTGCATGCTTCCCTCCAGGTGACACAGAAATGTGAATTTAGATTTTATATACATATATATATATATAAAACCCAGGTTTTATATATATATATATATGTATCAATTTATAAAATATATGTATATTTTTTGTATGTTTAATTTATAAATGAGATTCAGGACACTCCTTTTTATGTCCCAACAGTATTCCCAGACAGTCAAACAAGCTCTAGGCCTAGAGTGGCCATTATGACTCAAGGCAAATGGTGTGGCTAAAGGCACCATCTGCTTTAGTCTTTTATATTTTTGGACAGAAGCCTCTGTCTGGCCCCTGCAGGGCTAATCTTGTCTACAACCTTTCCTGTGCTCTCAGTCCTCTTCTCCATTCCGACCCCAAACTCACAAACGTGTTAGGTCTCTGGCTAAATTACCCAATCTAGAGAAAGATGGTCCCCAGAGCATTTGCCGGCCCTTGCACTTGTATACTTCTTTCCGCAGTTCCACGTTCGCGACAGGTTCATGTGGGTGATGTAGAAGCAAAAGGTTCACATCTTATTTATACCCATTGCTAAGCTTTTTATAAACCCAGAATGCCACTGTAACATCACACTGCAGTCCAATGGACAGAGTCCTTTGCAAAAGTGTCAGTCTTTTTGGGATAGGTTCCCAGCAGATCCCCCCTGGCACTGTAAAGATCACACTAGATACAGTCATAGCAAAGCTAATTCTTGCACCACTGCTTCAGGGTTTAGAGCTCGGTAGAGGCGGAACTGGAAGGCTTTTCTGTGCAGTTAACCCATATTCTGGGCTTAGCATTACCATTCCCTTGCCAGCCCAGCCCTGTGTGCAGTTCAAGGAGGAACAGGCTACCCCCAGGGCACATTTGCTGATATGTTTAGTGCTTTGAAGTGTGCCTCTGCGTGTGCCATCAGTCTCCTGTGTTGTAATTGCAGAGCATCTACATGTACCTTCTTGGACTAAAAATGACCATATAAAAGCAACCACTCTTGCCTCAGCAGCTCCCCACAGTACAGGACAGCATAGAAACTCCTAGTATGCCTTTCTAGGTCTGACCTTTGACATTAGGCAGAAGCAGGCTGAGATGAGAATTGCAAAGGACTCCTCTGTTCTCCTGCTGACACGTGCCCTTCCAACCTTCCCATGCTTCCCTTTCAGTGGTGAGGTGATGGCAAGACTTTGACTCTCCCTCCAGATAAACACATCTACCATGGGTTTGCTCTCCTGGGCTCTCGACACCTCTCCTTGCTATGTCACTCTATCTTTGCTATCCCTGCTTCTCCATATAAAGCTTCCATGATTTCCCTTCAGGATTAGCTGTAAGCCCCAAGGCTGGTCCTTGGGCACTGCACTCCTTATGTCAGAGCCTGTGAACAGTTTGTATATGTTTAACTTTTTTTTTGTGTAAATAGCTTTGTATATATTAGCCCAACTGTAGCAATGTCTCCAGGCCTGGCTTTTTCTTCCATACAGGGGTTAGTATTTATAATATATAGTCAGTTAATACAGCTGCATAACAGGGACTGAAAGTGTGAGGACCAGTAATAAGGATTAAATAGGAGTCCCCCTTCCCTCCTCTTTACCCACCACCTTGCTGGAAAAGGTGAAGTGACTGTTACCCGAAGTAGTTATTCTCCTAAGGTTCTTCCTGAGAGAACTGGTATTTGAGTGCAGTGATGTTTACTGTGAGGTTTGTGAGGCATTGGCACAGGTTGCCCAGAGAAGCTGTGGCTACTCCTTCCCTGGTAGTGTTCAAGGCCAGGCTGGATGGGGCTTGGAGCAGCCTGGTCTAGCAGATAATGTCCCTGCCCATGGCAGGGGGTTGGAACTAGATGAACTGTAAGATCCTTTCCAACCCAAACCACTCTATGATTCTATGATACTATGTTAGCTCCTCCATAATGTGAATTTACCCTGCCCACACACACATCCCCCCTGTGAATAAAGAGTCTGTCTGTATATTGTTCGGAAAATGTATTTGAACTGTGAACTGCAGTGGAGCAAATAAATACCATGTACAGCATCATGTGTTGTAAATCAGTGGGAGATTATGAGTTTGCTTGTTTGGGGGATTGTTTGTGGTATTTTTACAATAGGGAGAAGGGGACAAATGAAGAGAAACAAAGGAAAAAGCAAAAGCCCAGCCAAGGATCCTTAAAGGTTGTGGAGAAGCACAGTAGAAAGAGATGGGCAGGAAAGTACCACAGAATGGGAGCTTTTGGGGCAAAAAGCAAGAAAGTGGCATGTGGGAGTAAGAAATAGGAAAGAGGAGGAGAGAGATGTCTGAAAGCAATTCCCCATTCCTATTGCAGCAGCACTTTAGATCTGGGTGCAGGGATCAGAGGAGGTTGGGCCTGAATATGAAGAACAAACAAGGTGTTCAGAGAGGATTACAGCCAGTCAGTAAGAGCACCAGTGCCCTTCACTGTTAACACTGAACCGGGGGTTGCTGGAAGGTCAGTGTGACATCACCCAAATAGGCCCAGCACTGCAATTTGCCAGCTGGATGGTGCTATCTATTCCCAGGTACAGTAGTGCTGGGATTAGGACAATTGCCTCAAGTGTCTGCAAGTCTGTGGAGACAGCTGGCATCAACAACACATCCCTCTGGTTTCACCCTTCCCAGCTGAGGACACCAGTCAAACTGTGATCAGGGAGGATCTACCTTGCTACCGCTGACACTGCGTTGCCCTGTCCCAGTGCCCACCTTCTTGCTCCCTGAACTGTAGAGGAAGAGCTCCCCAAGAACTTGATAACACTGGTGCTAGTGTTTGGCTCAGAGCTCTTGTGCCTCCCAGACCCCACTGCTCTGCCCCTGTGCACTCATCCCTAACAATGATCCTCCTCGATTGTCTGTCCCAAGACCTCATCCAGATCCAGCTCTGGTTCCCGCTGGAGCACTTTCTGCTGCAGATCAGAGTAGAAGTCGACTCCCTCAGAGACTGAATGGAGGGGCTTGTCCTGGGGCCCATAGTAGCTGCTTATTTGCCGCTGTATGAAGCACTGGTGGTGCTGAGGCTGATCCTTGAAGCACCCTTCATAGCCCTTGATGTGGTTCCTTTTGAACTCCAGCACCGTCTTGGTGTAAGTGTTGAGAGTGGTGACAGCAGAGGCCATGCAGCAGGTGAAGGAAGCCCAGGCCATGCTACAGGACAGACACAAGAATAGCACATGCTGTGAGAAGCCAAGTAGTGTAAGGAACTGAACTGCATGCACTGTGATGCATCCTGACCTGCCAGGCAGGAGCTGCTGGGCATGGACATGAACTAGAAAGACTAAGGCTCATATCATTACAGTTCTAGGGGTTATTCCACCGCAAAATCCTTCTTAAATCAGTGGGGTAAATACTGGTGGTCTTCACAACAGCCTGTCACAGGGAAGGGAGGGATACAGGGAAAATAAGAAGGGCAGTAGGAAAGTCTGTAACTGGTCAGAGCAGGACAGCACAGCTTGAAAGTAAGTTCTCTATTGCAGGGCTGCTCAGTGTCTTCCTGGATATCAGACACGACCATAACCAGATGGCCACACTGACATCTGAGGTCCATGGCTGGCACATGGCACTGGAGTGTTTAATTCTTAAGAATCAATGTGGTCATCATCAGTGCAGCATTGCAAACTGAGCCTGCACTTTCCATGGACACTTGCAAGGCTCATCCAACTGTTTTTCAAGCCAGTTATGGCACATAATCTGCAGTTACCTTCTTTAGCCTTTAGAAAAAGGAACACTGAGCCACCTGCTTTTTGCAGCTGCTTTTCCTACCTACAGTGCCCACATCTTTAACCATGTGTCTAGACTCAGTGCTGCAAGAATAGGCCCTTTGGACATCAGTTAATGGAAATGTGAAACCAGCATGGCAACTTCTTGAAATGCAGGAAAACAATGCACGTTTGAGAACATCATCACAAGTGTGACACTGGCCTCTGCACACAGCAAAGAGGTGAGACCAAACAGGGAAACCCACCATAGAGGTAAACCTGATCCGTAGCCTGGTTGAAGGCCCGTTTTCAGGTGTGACCCAATTGTTTTGCCAGACTTTGGTAGCTACTCATTTAAGTAACTCAGCAGCTCTTTATTAAAGCAGTGGATGTGGCAAAGAAAGATTAGCAGTAGGAAAATCACAGGACACCTGTCTTTGAAAAAAGAAGGTCAAGAAAGGAGGAGGTGGGTTTTGGCAGGGTGAGCATGGCTGAAGCCCAAAAGGCTGGGGAGGTGAAAGTGGCTTCAGAGCTCACATACTAGAATGCCCAGCCGTAGTCCCAGGAGTGCGGTCTCCAGTCCTCTGGTCCCAGATTAACCGTTGCCTGAAAGACTTGAGTGTACATCATGTGTGCCACCATCCCAAGGAGACCTGGATGCAAAAGACAAGAAAACGAAGTTACAGCCAGAGCAGCATACTTCAGCCTTGTGGGGAAGAGGAGGCTGGGATTCCAAGCCTTCAGTAACGCACTTACCTGACAGCACAGAGGAGACAGCAGCAAAGGCATTGAGCTTCAACCCACAGACAGGATTGCCAGTATGCAGCATTTCCACCATCAGGAGGATGAAGCTGATGAGCAGCAAGCTGATGTACAACATCTCTGATCCCAGCGACAGCCACAGGATTCCTATCAGAAACCAGAGACTTCCCACATAAATACAGGATGGCTTTTTCAAGGGGGAGTACTCCCCCTTCCCAACCCAATCCTGAAAAGATGTCCTCGTAAAAGAAGGAAAAACAACATGCAAAAGCCTACTAGCAAGGCTCAAGGGATGCTAAAGGTTACAAAGAGTCTGCCATAGAAGATAGCTTGGCTAGTCTGGCATGGCAAAAGCTGAGAGGAACTAAAATGCTGTCTGGAGACAAGGGAGTAAGAGCGGGGGAAAGCTGTTTAGCATTAGTGCAAAACCCAGAGGTTGTAGGTTGGCCATGAACACATCTGAGCTGGCCATTAGAATGTGCTTACCCATTAGTGTAATGAACTTCAAGGTATGTTTCTAATCACAACAATGGAAGCAAAAAACTTTTAACTTGGGACTCAACTGGTTAAGTAAAGAACTGTACGATACATCCATGGCTGCAGCTGGGACCTTGCCTCTGGAATTCAGAAAGACACTTGCAGGCCTGTATTTCTCACTGAAGCCCCCATTAAAATGAAACTGCATTCCTTGGAGTAGATATCCATCTGGGGCAATTACATTCACCAGTCACCCTGATGCTTGAACAGAGTGCAGGTGCTTTCATGCTGGGGTTATGGTTGGGACTCAAGTGATATCACAGATCACAGCTGATCTCCCTGTGCATTAAGATTTGGAGGAGAATAAGAAAAGGCACTCTGTAATGGTGAGCTGTGGAAAGGCACAGGATTTATTGAGGAAGAAATATTAACCTGACAAATGAAGCAGCACTGTGAACACTACTGTTAGCAGCTATTAATGCCTGTAGAGGAGACATTCAGCTGGGGAAAATGGGTGTGAAGAAAATCCTCATTAATGTGGCGCTTACTTGACTCCTCAGTGTTATTAGAGCCATAGTCACACAGCTCTTCAGCAGGAACTGATGAGCTGCATTCCCTGCTTACAGGAGCTGACTTGCATGCTGTAGTACCATCAAGGTGACTATTTCATTAGGGTTCAGACTGCTTAAAGTTTCCTGGAGGCTGCAGCACCACGTGGGCACAGAGGTCTCTGCATCACTTTCTCTGGGAGTCCAGGCTGGTGACCACACATGCTCTGTAATCTGGTCTTGCAATGCTGTCTATGTAATGTGGAGCTGCTCTGTGCACACCCAGCTCAGGCTAGAATCAGCAGTTACACCACATACCACCTTCTCCAGTGCTGGCCCAACTGTATAATGGCATCAGTGCTGGAGGCCAAGGTCATTTTAAGATAATGTTATGTGCAGGAAGGGGTGATGGCAGGTGACAGAGTTGTTAAGATCACAGTGTCACTACAAGTTAAGCTCACAGTGATCTTCCAATTAATTTCTAGGAGCTCAGTGTCTTACATGAGTCTTTCTATCAGTGTTGGGATGCAATTAGACAAGGAGCAGTAGGGGAGGAGTGTGACTCGTAATCTGGTTGAATAAACCCCCTTTCTTAGCAAAACAGTCTGTAAGGAAGACGTTGGAAGCAACAGAGCCAGACGCCTGGGAAGGAAATGAAGCACAAGAAGGTGAAAAAGAAGAAGAATGCATTGCTACTCCCTGTGAGTTGAGCATTCTGCAGTAAATGCAAGAGTCATTCAGTAAATGCAGGTAAGTCATTCATTTTAAGAAAAAGTGGAGATCTGCATGACTTCAGAATGCTCTTGTACACCAGCAGTATCTGAATTGTGTGCATACTGTTTCCCGAAAGAATAAGTAGGTGAGGTTTCTCTACCCTGCTGTTTTGCCAAGAGTGACCCAGGTTAATCTGCCACTTGCACAAGACCCCTCACATGGGAACGTGCATCACTTTATAAAAGCAGGTAATCAGTTTTTGCCAGTGTAAAATAGGGGAAACAAGGCAGAAAAAGAAGATGAGATCCCTGACAGTACTCATCTCCCTGCTGGCTGTTGCAGTTTCCCATTTCAGATGGAAGGAGGTTTGAGGTTTCCAGCACTGAGCTCACAGATGGCAGTGGTTTAGGCAAACATCTGTGTTTAGCAGATATCTTTTTCAGGGTTTCATGCCTGGCTCTTTGGGGAGTCACCCTGCTGTCCTCACGCAAGTGATCTGTTGCAGGTCCCCCATCTCAAAGAGGTGCAATGGGCAGCCACAGTGAGGTATGGGGATTTGCTCTTACCTCTCTCTGCTGGTGGTGAAAGCTCAATAAAACTACGGCATTTCTCTTCTGAAACACGAAACCAAAGAAAGTTATTAGTTCACAAAACAATGCAGGGTACATAAGGGAAAAGAAAATCTCTTCCTCTCGTTCTTCAGTGCATAGCTCCAGTCATCCCTGACTCTACCCATCAGATCTTTTCACCTCTGCTCTCTTTCTTACCATCTTTCCAGATCTTCACTGGGGCAAGGCAGGGGAAGGCAATGTCTGCCTGGAAAACTAGAAGTGGCCTTTCAGAAAAAAACTGAGCAATTTGTAAATCTTACGAGGCTCTGGTGAATATAAAATTCTGTTGCTGCTCATTCACAACAGTACTGAGGTTCAGGCCTATTAAGTGTGCAGCTTATGACAGGCTGCAGACCCATCACTTCTGCTGAGGACTTGAATTCCCACTCACCCCAGTCTCAGCAGAGCAGCTCCAGCACCACTTCCCAAAGAAGAAAATAAAAAAAAAAAGATTCTTTCTAAGTGAAACTCTGCCTGACAGGGATGTGAGTCCCTCTTCTGTGGGAGGGAATCACACAGAGATATTCACGGTCTTCTGTCCTCGCATTTTAGGCATGCTATTTGGACAAATGGTGTTCATATTTACTTTGGCTTTTTACATTGGCCAGATGCAAATGATTGTCCCAGCTGAGAGTCCAACATTATTATCTGTGTCTCTTACTGCCTACTGTATTATTGCATTTGAGGGTCCTCTTCTCTACTTGGCACAGTATTTTCTCCCAGAAGTATCTGGCTGCAGCTTTTCATTGTAAGAATCTCATTTTCTTAATTTCTATCCCCAGTTCTAATCTCTCCCAATCTCCTGTATTACTTCTGTCATCCACAGCTCTCAGGTCACTACCCAGTATAGTGCCATCTGCAGTTCTCATTAACTTGCAGTTTGCTACTTCGCCTAGAACTTTAATGAGGTTATTCAGTAATGGATCATCTAGACTGATCCTGAGATTAGCCTGAATAATGAAATCCTTTCTCCAGCTCAACTTGAACTCCTTCTGCTCATAGCAGCCCCTTTTTTGTTGTTATTTTCTGTGCACTTGCTTCAAAAGCCCAGAGCGGTGGGTGAGTTGTACTTGATTTACAGGAAGCAGGGGATATAGACTATGTGCTCTACCCCGTGCTCGGCTGCAATCCAGGTGTAACACTCTCTCCATTCCTTCAGGCATCAGGGTTATTCCAGGACAGCCTGGTGGCCAGACAATTCTTTCAGAGAAAGCTGTCAAGGGATGTAGTCCTGTTCCCGCAAGCACCATGGAAACACACCCCAACCCAAACCAGTCCCAAATATACACATCTCCCTCCACATCATGTCTGGAAATGCTCATAAAGAAGCAGCCTTCTCATTACGACATGAGTTTCAAGCACATTCTCTCCTGCTCCCACCCCCCTTCTGTCTGCTTTTATCCACCAGTTCTTTATTTTCAAACTCTGACAGCAACAAGATAAGAACATAAGAAATGCCATAGTAGAACGGTAGCTTAGTTAAAGAAGGTGAGATGTCTGCTTAGGGAGAGCTGGATGGAGGGCTGGGGGATCAGGTGAATGGGCCTGATGAAAGTGACTTTCATCACTGCATCTTTAGATACAAGTCTCCCTGTTGGCCACCTTCTGGGTCAGTTCTGATCCCAGATGTGTGTGCCAGGCCATGAGGAGCATCTGTGCACTGCAGAGCATCCACCTGTGCTGGCATGGCACAGATTTCAGAAGGACGTCAGCAGGGCTGGGTAGGAGCAAGCCAAGGGTGAAGGGAGGCACCAAAGTGGTCTAGTACATGTTGCATGACCAGCCCCTGGCACTCCAGGCCTTACAATGCCAGTCCCACATGGTCAAAAATCATAAATGAAACCAGTCATAATATCACAAAAGCTGCTAATAAAATTATAATACTGCAGCTCTAACCCTTGGGTCAATTTGCCTCCTAACTTCAGTTTCTCTGTGTTCAGACCCTCCAGGTTTTCTAGGTTTTCCCTGTATCTATAAGGCAAACTTCTCTCTCAGCTTAGTCCCTGTTCAATTCACAAAACCCCTCATTTTGGTGATTTAAGAGCACCATTTACAGCAGCCCTCACAGTGATAACCATAAATTGTCAACACTAACCACCTCGCTTAGATCTCTGAAGAGACATGCACAAATGTGCCCTGGGAATGTGTAGTAAGCTGTGTGTAGGAATGGCTATACAGGGAAAGGGATAGGAGGCTCACTGCAGTTCACATCAGGATGACTGATGCTATCACAAGGTCACTGCCACCACCACCACTTGCCCTTCACAGCCCTAGTCCAGACTGAAGAGCACACCATTCTCCCTTGCCCGCTCTCTAAACAGCCTAATGAAGGACAGAACTATAATGACCACAGCAGTGCACAGGGCTGATGCCAACTAGGAAAATGAATAAGGCTTTTCTCCCACGTATTATCAACCTCCCACCTTTCATTTCCAAACTCCTGTGGAGTAAATACAAGGGAAGAAGTTGTGGCTATCTAGCCAACTTGTTACCTGGCCCTTCCATGCTCTCTTCACAGGAAAGCCACATCCCTGTGTGGAAGTATCGGAAGTCAAAGCGGTCATCCCCGGTCTCCCAGCTGTAGTGCACCACTTCCTGGGATGAAACATTGCTAGCACCTGCATCAGGTGGCATGGGGACACCAATGCACTTGGTGGCCTTGCTCTTCCCACACAAAGGCTTGGGTACTTTTTGGGTCCCAGTGCACCAGTAGCTGCCAAGCAAGGCAGTAGTGGAGAGGCTGAGGGCAAGCAGGTTGAGGATGACAGCCAGGAAAGCACGGCGCCATGGCAATCCCTTCAGCAGCTCCATCTACAACACACAAACAGGAGAAACTGTCACACCAGCCACGTGTCCCATATAGCCTTATGAATCCAAGCTCTTCTCAGCGCGCACCTGCAGGGAGGGCATATGAGCACTCTGCTCTCCTCACAACACCCCAACAGCTCACCCAGCATGAAAGAACCATTTCCTGAAGGCAAGGGCAGTGGAGCAATACGTTAGATTCAGTCATTTAATCATTTCAAAGTACACTAAATATCTGTACAGGGGAAGAGAGTGCGACTCAGTAGACATTGCAGGGCTGAGAACATTGGGGTGTGTAAGCACATCAGCAAAATAAAAGGGAAGTCATGTTTGTTCCATCTCAGATATGGTAGGGAAGAACTGTTAACTAACTTCCCAAAATGCTGTATGTTGCCTTTAGATGAGTCATGATGAATGCTCTGTCCAGCTAAATGACAATTCTTGTTGCTGGGTCTCCCAAAACACTTTTTCAAGCTGTTCACTACTATACCTAGGGAGGTAGGGAGTCTGTCGATTTCAGAGTGGGAAAAGGCAGGAAAATGTTCCCAGACAACTGAAGACCACGTATCAAAGCAGTGACCTGCTCAGAAGGGTGACACAGCTATACAGATCTGGCAGCTGGAGTTCAAGCCCTAGAGCAGCACCTCCCACCTGAGCAAGCACTGCTCTGCACATCAGAAATTGGGTATGGTGGTGGGATGGCAATGTCTCTGCTCTCACAAAGTGCCAAAGGGCTTTTTTTGGAGAGCAAACACTGCCATGAACACTCTTCCCAGTTCAATCTCATCAGAAAAAATAATCCATAAAGCAGTTTCTGTACCAGGGTCCTGTGGTCTTTCTAACTTAAAAGAAGCTTCAGGTTCCTGCAAAACCTTGCACTGACTTCTGAGAACCTCAACACTCCACGGATTGATTAGATGTCTCCTACCCACACATCAACTTTCATGTAATCAACGCATGTCTCTTCCCACGTGGCACTCCCTATGTTTGGCACAACTTCATTCAGATACTCCCACCCTTTCCTATTTATGACTCTCAAAATCTATTTGCCCATGAATAGATTTGAATTTGTACAGACACTGCCTGCTGCTGATGCTCTTCAGATAACTTTGTTTGACTCACCCAGTGCTGAAAGGCCCAGCATGCTGTGGACAGTACTGTAAATAAACGATGTGAAACTGAGGTTTGCTTTGTTTGTGGATGTACCACAGCTAAAAGTGGTGCAGTTAAAAGCATTTGTTCTGCAAACCAGCAAGCTTGGAAATGTGGTCACTAACGATGGTGCTGAAGTTCCTCTTGGAAAGCAGGACTGTCATTGCACTGAGAAAACAGTGTATGGTGCAGAACACCCTCATTGAAGAATGAGGGAAGAAAATACCCAGCTCCTGAAAAATTTCTTTATGTTTTTATACTCTGGCTTCTTTTCTTCTTTTCACTAGAGCATTTCTTTCTTTCAACAATGGAGACGCTGCACCCTGAAGGTGGCAACATCTTAGTAATAGCATAACTAACAACTTCCATGATCTGAAGGCATGTTGGATACCGATATTTTCACAAAGCAGATAACTCCTAGGAACAGTTAATAATGTAAAGATTTCTGGTGGCAAATTTCTCACTGAATTTTTTTTCAGTGCAAAATTTGGTTTATGATTGAAAAAGAAATTATAGATACAATTGTTCTCAAAACCATGATTTTTCATCTGAAAATAGTATCATTCAGCACACATAGTTTTTCATTAATGCTCGCTTACAAGATTTTCTGTTGTCAGGTTTCAGTTTGCTTCTGCTTTCATGTTTTAAAAAATCTTTCCATTCATAATATTGACAATTATTTTTTTTTTAATTTAAATCTTCAATACTGAGAAAAATATTACCTACCGTTGCTTTGTGATAGTAGTTGAAAAGCCATATAATTTCAGAACAACTGATAAGGAAAAAGGCAAAAAACAATATGAAACAAATGAGTCAGAAGAAGGAACTGCATCAAGGATGAGAACGAACACAGAATGAGAAGCAAATCCGAACTACTCCTCCATGAGTACATTGTCAGAAAAGTTCCCCTCCATAAAACCAAACACTTACTGACAAGTGACCACAGTATCTAGATAGATGAAAGAGTTGAATTTACCTTGGCAGCAAGTCCTCGAAGTCCTGTTAATTCGTAGGAGCAATACAGAAATGAGACTCACACTTTGTCTGCTGGTTTTCTCATCTCTAGATACTCCAGGAAAACCAATTGCTTCAAGGCCCCTCTCTCCTCCATCTCCTCCCTTCCTCCCCCACAAACCCAGTGATTATTAAGTGCTTTCCTTCCATCCAGCAGCTGTTTTGTGGAAAATGGTCATTTTGTAATCCACAATGCAATCACAGCACAGCTGTTCTGGGAGATTATACAGGAAGTGATTGGCGCTGTGACCTGGGACTAAGTGCAGAAGAGTGACCTGTATTGACTGAGCAGAAAGTTTTCATAAAACACAGAAAGATTCCAACCATCCGCATATTGTGGCTGTTTGGGAGCTTGTATGGAACTGAAAGATTTCTGAGGGACCTTAGCTCAGAAACTACCAGTGCCGGGACTGACCTTATCATCATGTCACCCCTTGCCTTGTGCATTGTCTCAGCAGAATGGCAAGAGGCCACAAGCCCCCCAGCCCTGGGATATCTGCCTGTACACACCTGCCAGTTGCAGAAAGGGGAGAAGAGAAAGAACTGAAGAGAGGAAAGTTTGCATCTTTGAGGACTGAGGATTTCAGACCCTGAAAAGATGCCAAGCCAGCTTTGCCTATGGGGGGATTTTAATGACAAAAGGATCCCCTCAGCAGAAGCATTGCTGTGTGGCAGACCAGCATCACCACCATAACAGTGATGAGTCAAACAAGTCCAATATTCAAAGGATGGGAGCATGGGGAAGGCCGTCAGTGTCCCTCATAGTGGCTGCTTTTACCAAGGTGTGAAGCTCACCAGGAATCCCAGCTCCCAGCAGTTTCACATTGTATGAATCTGGGAAGCTAGTAGGGAGAGACAGAAAGATTCACACTCACCCTAAGCCCCCTCTAAGATTTTGTCCTGGAAGTTTAAAGGCTCCTATAATACCTGAGGGTATTGATACACCTTGTTTGGCATCAGAACAGTGAGAAGTAAGAATGGCATCACCTCTCAAGAGAATGTGCTGTCACTTAAAAGGGCATGAAGCAGTGCCACACTGAATCAAACTGCAAGGAGCATCCTAAAAGCATTCACCTCATCTTCCCTGCAAAGGCTTTGCCCAGTATCAGGTGGGTGAGACCCCCACCACCACTAGGAAGGATCAAGGCAAATTTCCTGTGTGTTTGCCCTGCTGCTCTGACAGGACAGAGGAAACCAATGCTCCATCTGCTTTCATCCCTGGTTCTAACAGCAGAGCCTAGAGGCTGGGAGGCAGGTGTGCGAATCTCCCTGGGTGACAGCCCCTGCACAGCAGAGGCAGCAGACAGAGCTGACAGGTTCACAGTCCCATATGTGGGCTGTGCTGTCACGGGCTCCTGACCCTTCCTGCCCTGAGCAGAACAGTTGGTAGCACTGAGGCCGCTTTAATCCTAGTCACTGCATAAACTCCTCTAATATAGATAATCATTTCTAAGATGGGCTAACTGAAAGCAATGCTAAATGTTTCCATGGGCCATGGATTGCCTGGAGGTTATCTGGTTAAGGCAAAGGTTCTGTTTGACACAGATGTGCTTAATTTACTGGAGAAAGTAGAATAAAGTTGACACTGTTTAAAAGGAGAGTGGTAACTTTTATTTTATTTTCATTATTCAGTTTATTTCATTATTAAGTCTGGACACCTTAAATTTGGCTTCTAAATGCTCAGTAAAAGAAAAAAAAAAAAAAAGCCTGTTTTTCAGGCTCAGTCCATCTCTCTACTGATAATCCTTAATGTTAATAGGTTCCTAATTTTAAGCTTGATAAGATTCTCATTAAAATCCAGGATGCTATGTCAGTTTCTAAAGCTGGGATCACAGCATAAATATTGATGAAATGTGAATTACTTAGATTTATATGGACAAGAATTCAGGTTGGAAAATGAATTTATCAGAAATATGCTACGGTTTCCAAAATGTGAATGTATGAGGTGTGTTATTCTGAATAATGGCAGATATTTATCCTTCCAGAAGATGGCAATCTTTCTCTAGTCTTCTTTTTGGGAGTCTGCTGCTCAAGCCTATTCTGGGGAGAAGCAACGCCCAACTTTAGACTTCTATTCCTTCTTTCCCCCCCCCCCCCCTTCTTTTTTTCCTTCTATCTTCCTCTTTTTTTCCATTTTTATAAACACAGTTTCTTTACCTTGGCTGCAATATGGGGGTCTGGGTCTTTCTCTTTGAGTTAGCTGAGTGTGGGCATACTTCATTGGTAAAAATCATTTGTGAAAAAAAGAGGAATGAATGCAAGAGCTTAGCTGGGTATTTGTTCCACCGTCTGCCCTGCACAGAACTATTCTTTCTAATACATTTTCCAATATTTTGTCAAGTACCATATTAACTTTCTCAGTGTGTTTTCATCTCCAAGTTATTGCACGCAGCTTAGAGAGCATCAACTCCAGAGCACGTTTCCTGATGCTCAAAGAATTTCCCTCAGTGAAATTTTATGGTGGGATGGGTTTGATTTGGGTTTTGGTGGTGGTGCTGTTTTTAATCTCCTCTACAGCCTTGCCTTAATCTGACCATTTATGGACAGGAAAACCAAGCTGTATCTGTCTTTCACCCTACCGTGCCTTCCAGTTTTCTCCTCTTTGTATCTGATATTTCCCACCATAACTTGGCTTGGCTAGAGGTTTTGGATGTCTCTTTCTCTTTGAACTCAGCAGCAGCTAGTCCCTGATGACTCGTTTAAAGTTTGCCCATTGAAGTAAATGCCCATAGCAGTTGATTTCCGGCACAATCAGTCAAGTGCTTTGCTTATAGAAACAAAACAAGGAAATGAAATGTAAAACACAATCTTAGAACAACACTTCTGTGGAGATTGCCAAC